CCCCAGTCCTTGCCAGACTGCACTGGCTGCCTGTCCCAGAGAGGATCAATTTCAAGATCCTCACCCTTGTACAAGTCCCTGCACTCCTCTGCACCCCCCTACCTCTCTGACCTCCTCTCTCCTCAAAACAGTACCCGTTGCCTTTGTTCCTCCGGGTCTGGCCTCGTCCTCGTCCCCAGAGTCCTCCGCTCCACCCTCGGCGGCTGTGCCTTCAGCCACTAAACCCCGAGGCTCTGGAATTCCCTTCCTCACTCCCTTCGCCTCACCCCCTCTCTTCCTATTTTTAGGTCCCTGCTGAAGATCTTTCTTTTCGACTGCGCCTTTGGTCATCTTCCTCCCCCTCCCTCTGGCTCGGCCCTGGGATCCATTACTGTGAAGCGCTCTGGGAGACTATTGACATTATTTTAGAATGTGAGCAGTAATTATTTCTCCACTAACCAAAAATGGAGACTCTTGAATGAATGGAAGTTACTATCTCCCTCACAAAGTGGTTAAACCAAAAATCTCATCATCACTACCTTTCTCACAAACTGGTCGGAATAATGATTACAGGATTCCCTGTAAAGAATGGTGCTAAGAAGTCATGCAAGTTAAATCTGAATACCACTTTAAGAACTTTCACACCAAGCAGTACCACTTGCTGTTTCTCTCCACTATATGCTTATCTAGCCCTACACATACACTATTTGTGACTTGTTATTAATGATGCTTTTTAAATCCCATTGTACTTGTGACAAATAAAACTGAGTTTCTGAAATTATATATTGGTAAACCACTACTAACCACCTGGCTGTGCCTAGTGGGTTTCGCTCTGATCATTTCAGATAACTTTCATGTCCCAACTCTTGAATTTGTAAATTAGCTTATCAAAAACAAAAACTTCTGTCAGGATCTCATATACTTTTAAAAGGGTCTTTTTACCAGAATTTGTGATACACTGTACCAATCTCCACATTACATGCTGCTTGAACCACTAAATATTTGCATGATTGGCATTGTTAACAATAGTTACCCTCAGCATAGACCTGGTAAAAAATTCAATGGACACCAAGCAGTAGTGGTACACCACCATTTTTTTATTTATTTGTGTGGATTTACTTTTCTTCCAGGTTGATGATAACAGGGCTAGTACTTTATGGTCCATTCCAGAACTCCAATATGTGATTCCACCAAGTGAAGAAGCAGAGATTTGTTGCTGAACTCCACTCTTTGAGCTGCTAATCTCAAGTGTGCCTTGTGAGGAGGCACTTGAACAGAAGTCAGACTTCCCCTGAGAGGAGGAAGGAAATATTTGGGAGGAAGGATGAAGAGAGGCATTGGCACCAAACCATTCTTTTCGCTTCTTGACAACCAGTCAGGAACAATATTGGTAGAAGTCAAGAATCACGCCCTCATTGTTTCTTTTTATTCCTCAGCAAGATAACAGCATTTGAGTGAGTAGGGATGCTCAAAGGTAAAGGAAGCTGCTTTCCAGGCCAACGTTGTTAAACAATGCTTTTCAAATACGAATAATAGACTCTACAATCAAATAGTAGTATGAAACATCATTGATTTTAATGGTAAAAAATAACACAGTGGTCTTAACAAGTGTGTCAACAGCAGAGATTCAACTTTAACTGCTGACAGTAAAAATCCCCATAACAGTAACAACGCTGGTAATATCTGTGTCTTTAAGGAACTAGAAGCTATTATAATAGGCATTTATGTGGTTTACTCTTCCTGAGGAAGGGTGGAGGACCTTTAATTATCAACATTTATCTGCAAAAGCACCAGAAGAGAGATATCTGATTTTGCTTAAATTATATCACTATCAACAGAGTACTCAGATTTACAATTCCCCTGTCTTTAAAAGAGCTGTGATAAACAATATCCTGCATTTATATTTATATAAACAAATCTTTTCTAACTGTTGCAGCAAGAATGATTTAAGTAATCATATTTCCTGGGAGTTCAACCAAATAAAACACTGAAGTAAAAATAGTGTAGTTATATTAATAAACATTGAAACAAAAACACAGGGCAGGGACTGTAAATTGTCGCTGCACCAAATAATATTTAAATTGAAACTAGAGTGCAAAGAGAAACAGGTTATTAATTCAGCACCTGATATCAAGCATGATTCATTGAACACCAAATTTCAAATACAACTTGATGCTTTCAATACTGTACATGACATGTCTAAGATGTTTTAAAAATGCCAGTGCCATTTTGATTTTCTTGAAGAAAACTTCTTGCCAAATACTTAATGCAACTTTCTACCAATAGAAAGCCAATTGTTTAGATAGTTTAATGGAAGCACTTCTTAATGGGGCTTCATTTCTTTTGGGTGAAACTGATTGATACGAAAAATTAGCAATAACAGCACAAGAATTTCACTAGTGGCACAACTTAAATTTATAAACCCAGACTAAATCAATCAGCATAGCCTTGCATTATTATATATTATTATCATCATCATTGTAGTTAAAAGTACGATTTCAGAAGCCGCACACCAGAAATATGATATAGGCTTGTGAAGCTTCTTAAAATACTTTGAAATGATAACACAGATTTTAACCCATAAAATGAATACCAATGCTATTCTACATATGTGGAGGACGAGGATTGTGTACATGAATCACTCACTCCTTGTTACCTTCATATTGAACTGTTGTTATGAAGTTATAATGTAGCATATACTGGACTATAATCTTGCACAATTTTTAAAACATGTTACCAGAACATCATTAAGGAGTGAAAATCTCAAACATATTACATTTTGAGTGGTTGCAATTTTTAAAAAATAATTTGGATTGTGAAATTAATTTGTTCAATATCTGTATTCAGTTTTGTAAAATCAAATGAAGTTCACTCATTGAATGGAATAGAACGTAGAATCTAATAAGAATTGTTTTCTGGATAATGTTTGCATTTTGGAAATTACCTTTCTGTATCACAGGAATGTTTTTTTTATTGATTTCCTGAAGGAGGGTATAATTGATGTGTTCCCATAGTTATTCGTGAGGAATTGTGTTGATCAAAGATTTTTTAAACAAAACTGCCTTCACTTGTTCTAATTGAGAAGCATTCAGTTCGATTCGCTTCCCCAATCCTGCACATGGGATCTGTAAAATCCTGTAGGATGATAAAAATACTGAGAATAAGATTCTGCAATAATATCCTAAACAATAAGAAAATAATTATTTTTTTTAGAATTTATCAACTATTTCCATCTCTTTTCAATGTTTCCAGTCTCCCCACACCCCACTCTAACTATAGTCTTGAGTGCTGAGATTGCACCAATGATGTTCTCAAATGTTTGTTGCGAAATACCCAAGAGTGGTTCTGCTCAATCTCTGTGCCTGCTGGCAGCATGGTTACGATTGGGAATTGCACATAAAACTGCACCTTAGCAATGTATAAGTAATGGACATAATGGAGGTTCTGGATCAGGTAATACTGAATCAAGCTGAAAATGAGCAGCTGTTGCCTCAGTATTCTGCATTCCCCGCTGATGACTGCCTTATGTCTTTCTAGATACAGAAGCCTGTTCACTAGTCTCTCTCTCTCTAGATATAGCTGCCTGTTCACTTGTCTCTTTCTCTTTCTCTCAATATAGCAGCCTGTTCATTTGTCTCTCTCGAGATATTCATTCATCTCTAACACAAGCTGCCCTCTCTCAAGTGGCCATTCTTTTCACATGAATGTTACCAGTGAGAATCAGCAGGCAATTTGATCATTAGGCCCACCTCAGTCTAGCCTGATCCTGTCTTCCTCTGATATCCCCGCATGTACACTTTCTAGCTAGGTGACTGGATCATGATCAGTAGTTGAATCTTGACTGATTTTCTCCTTCCTAGCTCTGGTGTTAATTAAGCTGTTAAGACTAGGGACGCTACAATGTGTGAAGGGCGCTATATAAATGCAAGTTGCTGTTGGTGTGTTCAGGTCAATTGTTGCGTTTCAACTGTCAACGGAGCTTAGATCAACACACTCTGATCTGTAAGGTTCAGTTTTATTCTAAGTAGTGGTTTTACTAACTCACCTATCCGAGAGTTCATCACCACTTTGCTGCTCCACAAACAGAATGTGGCAGCAGTGGTGTTAAACTTGTCATATCATTCACATCATCTGTAACACATCATCTGCAAATATTCATGAGCAAGTGCACATTCACATAGAAAAACAAACACATCATGATGATTTAGTGCTAACTTCTCCCCAAACAAAATAATCTTGCGGGAGTGGGATTCATAGTTTGCTGAGAATAATGTACTTTAAATAAGGCTTCAACAATATTTAAGGTCTGATTCATTGAGTCAATATTGTGCCTTGGTGTGGTGTGCTGCGATGCTATCCATAAACAATGTGTTCTTTATCTCAAGATGTGCTGCTTGGCAGAGCAACATGAATTCCCACAGAGAGGGAGGGAAAACGCAAGAGCTAGTCAGCATATGCCACTCTTTCCTACCAGGCAGCTCACAAAAAGCATTGGCAGAGGGCTAGGAACCAGTTGCCTGTCTATCTAACTAGACAAAAGATATGTGTGGTGTGCGCATATGTATGTATGTATTTATATATGTATGTATGTGAGAGAATATGATCGAATACAAGAAAATGTGAGTGAATGTGGAAGGGGAAAATAGTTGATTTTATTTTCAAAAGTTTGAAACATGTCTAAACTCTCATGAGAAAGACATTGTGCAATCTATAACCCATGTCAGTGTGACTCAGTTACTAGTTCCCTCGCTTCTCAGTCAGAAGGTCGTGGATTCAAGCACTACATTGGTACTCGGAGCTTATACAGTCTAAGATGACACTTCATTGCAGTGCTCGGTAAGTGCTACATTGGAGATACCACCTTTCGGATGAAACGTCAACTGAGGTCCCATCTACCTGTTCAGGTGTACATTAAAGATCCCAGGCCATTATTCGAAAAGAAATGGGAGTTTCTCCTGGTGTTCTGGGCAACAATGGCAACAACAACAATCTTGGGAAGTGATTTGAGATGACCTCCTGTTATGAAAGGCATTATACCAAATGTAAGGATTATTATTATAATCCATCAGAACCTACTTTCATTATGAAACTAATAGACAAGCAACATCCTCTACTAACAGGAACCACAAAAAGAAATGGCTTCTCACTTATTGTGCAATTTTGAATTTATCAATATTGAAATCTGTTTCTGAAAATCACTTGCACCTCACCTTTGAGAACTCATTCTTTATCAATATTAGGACTCTACCAACATGTTCTACACAGAAAAACAACTCACTGGAGATCACATTGTGGTAATTGTTTCAAGCATCAGTTTGATATAGGATGCAGCAAAATGTAAACAGTCCTTTGACATCTGAATCAAGTATTGCTTTTCCCAAATTTTCCAACCTCTGGAGGCATCAAGAATTGTCTCAGCATACAATTGCTGAATGAGAAGTCTCAGCATGTGTGGACACATTCCTAACGGCAGCTCTTGTCAATGCTGAAGCAGGAAGTTGGTAGCCATATTAAGGTCATTGTTGGTGGCTCTGAGAGCTTCTAAAGCGTCAACTCTAGAAAACCCCATCTCCATCAACCTGGTCACCTGCCATAAAAACACACAAATGTAAGAACAAAAAACAGATATTGAGCCACCTCAAAACTGACTGGGAGGTACAGCATAAGGACTTTTTAGAAAGAAAGAAAAAGTGTTTTGAGTAGGTCTGCTTAATAAGAGGAGTGAGTAATTTTGTCGCAAATGTTATCTCTCAATGTTTCATTGCATTATCTACATTCCCAATGCAGGATTATACTACTGCACAATGTGCTCCCCTCATACAGCATTGCTGCACAATATGCTACTTAAATGTAAGTTGATATTCAAGTAGCAGTGTCTGTGCAATCACTGGTTGCAAATCTCAAAATTCCCAGATTTAGCCAAGTTTGTGTGCGTGGACTGGTGTTACATACGTGACAATGTCAAAGCTTATCACCCTTTGACGTAATGATGAAACATGTTCCACGTACAGGCAGAAACTTGGAAAAAAATTTACCTGCTTGGTCCCTGAGCCTGCCTTCTCTAAACACCAGTGTCTATTATGTGCAAGATGCAAACCACGTGTACAGAGGAATGAAAGTAGTCCTCAATATTATAATTAATATCCAGTGAAAATGATTAGTTGCGAATTACTTCAGTAAACTATCCATTCATTGAGTGTAACATTGAATTAAGTGCACCTTTATTTCCCTCTCTACACATGCACACACATTTACCCTTAGCGCACAATATATCTGGATTTAACACACGGTTTACAGCTGGTATATCATAGACTCCCATCCTTGTGGATTCTAGAGTTGTGGTAGCTTATCTGAATGATTGAAAGAGAGCTAAGAGGGACTGGTTTGGTGGAGATTCGAGAAGTGACTGAGCATCACTACTTTATAGATGATAATCCATCAACAATTGTTTGTACCTAATCATTACACACCGACTTGCCCAAGGGGCAGAATGTGGCTCGAGACAACTCTTCAAAATCACATGTTCCTTGTTATCCACCGTAATGTGAATTTATTTCTAACAGTTACATTTGCAAATGGTTTCCTTGGCATTTTGTTGGTCAGCTAGGTGTCTTGTTACCTAATCATTTAAAAATAGTATAACAAAGAAAATGCACTTTAGGAGCAAAATGCACAGAATTCCATATTGGCTAGAAAAGCAGAAGGGCGGTTGGATGAAGGATCTATAGGAAAACAGAGAGGTGATCAACAACAAAATACATTTATATAGTGGCCTTCACATAGGATAACATCTCGCAATGCTTCACAAAGGTGGGAGTCGGACCTCTGAAATGCAGAGTGAGATTTTAAACCAACCACCATCATCAGCAAATAATAATTTTGTAGCTAATTACTTGGGCTGAATCAAAGAAGTCAACGCAAATCTGTATAGATGCATAAAGGATCCTATTTAACCCCTGGTAATTCAGCCTAATGACAGACAGTATTTAAGATTAACGATCAAAGTGTAATTTTTCATTGTAAGGTCATAAAAACCACATTGTGTTGATAGATATCCATTTGCGTCATGATGAAATAAAATTCTGTCTGACACTCAAAGAAATAAAAGTCATTTTGGTAGCAAATAAAAGGTTATTGGGCCAGTGTAGTACATGTGATACGCACCAATAGGGGGCACTAACAATCCATCACAGAAGCCTTTAATGCCAATATGCCAGTTAAAAGTGAATATCAAGTAGATTTTGTAAGTAAAATATGTTAATCAAGCAAAAGTGACCCATGATACAGACTCACAAGAATGTTGGCGCACAGTTATCCTTTATCTTCTATAAGATTAACATTTAGTCAAAATTATAGTCAAATGGTTGAAGATGCAACTTAATAATGTGATTAGATGCGTGGATGACAGCTTCAAACAGGACAAAGGAGTCATATTGCTTGTCAAAGTCCAGATAACAACCCAGAGGAGAGGAAAAAACAACCTGTTTTGACCCACTAGTTAATCTGAAGCCTCAGCAAAGAATTTGTACCAATGTCATCCAAGTGATATTGACAATGTTAGAAATCTATAATTGTTATTTTGCCAATCAAAACTGAGCATTGCCAACGAACTGTGACCATGAAAATTCAATTTCACTAAATTGAACTCAATGCATGCTAAGAGACTGGAATATTAAATCTGACATATTGATGTTACACAGAACCCAGCCAATCATATTATCTTATCATACTTGGATATGGTAAAATAAAGCAGATTTTCAATGTACTTAGAACTGCCTAGTCCTTAATGTCGATGAGCTAACGGTTGAATAGTATTCTTACCAATGCTGTACCTTTCTCATCCTGGCCTCAAGATCTGAATTAGTCCTCAAACATACAAACAAACATAAGTCCTGACCTTTTCTTTCTCCAGGCCTCACCCTAAAGTTAAAACAATCATTTTACATAATAATATATTTAGGGATAAAAGCAACCATTTCCCCTTCAAACCATCTGCAGTAGCCATGAATGCTCAGAAGGAATTCATAAAAAAAATTTAAAATCTCAGTGGAATATCACTTATATCTACAATTTCTACTGTATATTCCCTTCTCCCTTCTCACTTGTTCGGTGTCTGACACCATCATTGTAAAGTGCTCCAAGAGGTTATCCTACATGAAGGGCACTATATACATGCAAGTGATGTATTTAAAACAACACTTACAATTGTGTTGCTTTGAAAGAACAGTCAAACACATATGATTGAAATGCTTACTTGTTCCTCAGAAACCGCTACATTTCCTGAAGCCTCATTAGCCACAGTTTCTTGCCTTTGGTTGTTAGTATTGAATCTGTTGCGTAGAGGAGGGAAGAGCCTATTCCAGTTAATCAGACCACCCTGGGAATTGCAAGGAAATTGTAACAAGTTAACTCACTTTTCACAAGATTCTATTTATATCGAATATACAATACAATCTATTTTCACAAACAAAATTACATTTACACTTAAATACAGTAATTCCTCTTACTGAATCAATGATCTACAAAACATACAGCAACAAGTGCTGTGCCATGTCATGGGATGTAGTTCCCACTGCTGATTGGTTACCATAGGCCTGGTTACCAATCCCAGCCAGGGTAAAGACATGCTGAAGCAATGCACATGCTCACAAGGATGCACGGAAAAATGTTGAAAGCCATTTCTCTTAGAGGCTAGTTTCAAAAGTGCACTGGGGCATGACTTAGAGCAGTTTGTCGGTCACTGATGATATGCAAGGACGAAGAAATATCTTAGAAATTGGAGTCGTGAAAATATTAGCCACTGGGAAATAATGTCGGAAATTTATGAAGCAAAAATACTCAGATTGTAGAAATAGCTCAAGAAGAGAGGCATCATAAAATGAAACCATTTAAACATGTAATTTGTTGGAGTTTAATTTCAATATGTATTTGCAATTTTTGAAAGCTACCAATTTGCAGGGAAAAGAAAATAAGACAGAGCCACGGGGAGATGTGATTTGTTATCTCGCCTTTCGTTGCTCTTGAACGGTTTTTGCTCTTTTGCGAATATTACAAATTAACTAGATAATACAATTAGCACTTCCCATTTATTTTGAAAATACAGTAAACTCCTGATAACAAGACCCTGGTTTAACTTGTCACTACCACTTAAGTCACCATGCTGTCAATATCCCATCTGCTTCCTATGCAAAAGTTAACGAGGAACTCTGCTTCACTTGTCAATCTGCTTTGTACGTAACTAGTCTTATTCTAGAAATTGTTGTAAGTGCTTACTTTGGATAACTCATCCTATAAGATGCATCTTTCATTGCAGAGGCCTCCTGCCCTATCCTGTGACCAGTATAGGCCCTCAGCAGAGTTGGGCGCACATACTCAAATACATCAACAACAAGATTTCATTTATAGAGTATCTTTCACGTCGGGAGGACGTCCCAAGGCGCTGGACATTAAGAAATATTGATTTTGATTATGTTTGATTATGTTTGGCCATTAGGAAGAATTGTCACAGTATTATAAGCCATTAACATACAGAATCTCAAGAAGAAGACTGGGTACATGATGAGCAAATTCAAAATTCAGTTACAAATAGATTGGACCACAAAGCTGAACATGGAAATCACAAACCTTGCCGACACACAAATGTGCTCATCTTGGCAATTTATAGCAAGGCCACAAGATGGAGCACTAGACAAGAAAAAGGACCAAAGAAAAATTTGGCAGAGCCCATTCTGTGGAAACAATTAGAGGCATTAATAGTAAGTTTGACAATGCACCAGACCTTCACACACTCTCAAATGAAAGCCGTTATTGTGGGGATATTCACTATGAAGCTCAGGACCCAGCTGCTGGAAGGTTTTACCTGAAGTCAGGATTGTGAACACGGTGTGGTATCCACCTTGATTGGTATGCAGAGAGATAAGCAGTCGGCTGTGGCCTGGCTATAACGGAATTTGGGAAGTTTACAGAGTGGCCCTGTGATTGGCCCCCATGAATCAGCGACCTTATTTTATGACAGGATCCTGAGCACTTTCAGGGAGCCACTCCTCCACTATAAGCAGCTGTTGCTCAAGCTCCATATTTCCAATTGGTGAAAACATCAATGGGTAGGGATGCATGTGCAAACTGTGAGCAGGAAGATAATGCCAATGCTCTCATGCATTTCATGTTGAGCGGTGCTGCTCATCGGGTAGCTTGCAGGGAGTTCCTGGTACCTTCTATCCACCAGTGAGGACTTAAACCTGGGCTTGTCAGAATTCAAATGACCAACTAGTTACTATTCTACTTGGGGAGTAAGTGGAGTCTCTTTGGAGCTGAGCTGGTTCTTAGGTGAAGTGGTTGGTAACCGGTCAACTTTCCATCTCGGTAGTCTGGTTCCTGAGCCAAGTGGGCCTGCAATGCTCCAGGCACTGGTGATGACAGAGAAGCCAGCCTGGCTTGTGACTATTCCTTAGGAGCAGAGATTCTTCCACTCAACTCCAGTTAACTCTGTAAGCCAAAACCCTAACGGGTAGGATGGTTCTAACTGGACAAGCAGAGGGAAGCTTGCCAGACGGTGCTCTTGTTGCAACCCATAAATTTTAACTGGTTAAATTCCAACAGCGGAGACTTTTGGTTCCCCAAGCCTTGGTTCTATGTGCCTAATACTCTCCGCAATTTGGGAAGCAGGGTGCATCCCTCCAGGGAAAGAGTATGCATTCCATTTCAGACACAAAGGGAATTTCCATGTGTAGGTGATACATATGTGGAATTCTCAGTCTGATTTGGATACTCTTAAAAATGGTGATGTGTTTCTACAAGTTTCAGGCACTTGGCTGACCCCAAAAAATGCTGACAACTTGCAAAATCCACCCCTGATAGCCATCAAAAGCCATCCATGGAATATTACATTGGACTTTTTAGTCTCATGAAAGAATCCTTCACAAACTGTGGTCACTGAGTATCAAGAGCAAGTCATGGATCTGGATTCGGAATTGGCTGAAGAGATAATAATAATAATAATCCTTGCATTTATATAGCATCTTTTCGCATCTTTGAGACGTCTCAAAACGCTTCCACTTTATACTGTAAAGTGAATTGACTGAATATTTTGTGGGCAAAGTAGGGCAGCCAATTGCACACAGCAGTATCCTACAAACATTCATGGATTGAGTGACCAATTTATTATTGTTATTTTTTGAAGGAAATATTACCCCTGGAAGTGATCCGCCAATCGACTAACAATTGGGTTCCTACTTACTGCTAGGTAAACAGAGGCGTGTGGAGTAAGAAAACTTGCGTTTTCGCCCTGCTGGGAATCTAACCCAGGTCTCTTGCTTGTGAGACGAGTGCTCTAACCACTGAGCTGATGGAAGCAAAGGGGAGCTAAGTCAAATTGGAGTGAGGTATTAAGCAGGTGCCTCAGGGATCTGTATTGGGACCCTTTCTGTTCCTTGTAATATATAACCTGGATTCGCAAATTTAACACCAAGTTGGCGGGAAGTGTGGAATCAGAGAGGCAGCAAAGATCCAACAAAGATAGCTTGAGAGGATAAGCACATGGGTTGATAACTGGCAAACAAAGTTTGATACAGATAAATGCAAAGTACTACTTATAAGAAGTATGAACAGGAAAGACATTTTCTCCATGGATGAGACGGCATTTGCCAAAGGGGAAGCTAAAAGAGATCTAGGAGTATTAGTTGGCTCACAATGGCAAAATAGGTGCATTAAAAAGGCTTTAACCGTCAACCGTGGCAAGGGTTAAGTTAGAAAAAGATATAAGATGAACCACAGAAAAAAGATGGGGTAAAGGAAGAATCTTGTAAACTTGTATCTTAAGTTTGATCATACCTGAATCAGATTTGAGTAAAATTCTCTGAATGATAATGGTACTTCCTGTTATGGGCTTCAGTTCGCCTCCCAATTTCCAACAAATTATTAAAAAGTATTATTTTAAAGAGTGCAAATTGCCAAATACACACGGATTAAATGGTTGATATAGAACAGTATGCATACCACATTGAATGAACTATAATAGCAGGATCATTAATAAAATATTTCCATTAGTGATATTTAATAAGTGGTGGGGGTTCCAATTTTATTACATATTGCAAATTATGTCAAAAGGAACTGAATACAAATTTCATCTACTCCTATAAAGAACACCTTGCTTCTTTGATCTTAAAACAGCAGATGTCTGTATTGAAAAATCAAAGGTACATTTGGGCTCTAATTAGCAATTAAATTATAACTGTTTTCACTCAGAATGCAATAATGAGGGCCAACTGCATGTAGAAAGAACAAACATATGTTCTTGTATGAGTTGTTTGACTAAGTTCTGTACCCTTAACTATTCAAACTCTATCCAAACTAATTTGTCCTACCTGCAGAGTATTTTAGTACATTCACTGATCCCAGTTATTTGATCAATGTTATTCCTAATTACAAAATAGGCTTGCACTATTTCCAAAGATAGTTTGCTGAGTCCAGTTTCCCCATTAGTTAACACACTATTACAGAAAATATACATCTGGCTTTCACTTCAAAACATTTTTTGCTTCGTCTTTTAATTCTAATTGCTTAATTCTATTCCTGGCTTTAAATTAAACATGTGTTCCTTTTAGAATTCTTTCACATATTTTTCTGCCCCACTGTTGTTTGCAGGCTGAAATGCTGCTCAGTGTCATTCTCAAACCAGCTGTGGGGAGATATGGACAGACTCACTACAGAATCAGGAAACCATCTGACACAGGGTAAAAAACCCAATGTTGCAAACATCAGCTATAACTGCAATGTAACCAAATGCAAAATGTAAGCCATGATAGTCACAGCTGCTGTGTACACGAGAATTTCCATGTGTAGGTGTGATGCATGCAACTCAGTTAAGTTTAGGTGCCCTTAATTCTGGTGATGATGTTCTGAGTGTGTCAGCCATGACTAAAAAAAATGTAAAAACTGCAATTGGCCCTGTGAACTTTAGTCAAAAGATAACAAATAAATAGATAAGTATAGGGCAGTTTCAAATTTCAAAAGAAGGCAGGAGCTCTGAATGCCATTCAGGTTATTTAATACTGAAGATACCTAAGGTAAAGAGAAGCAGACTGGCACACTTGGTGCAGTGGTCAAGAGCTGATTCTTCCTGTAATCTATACTTCGTACATGTTTGATATTCAACCCACATCCTCAGAAACTTCCTTCACTCACATTCTAGTGCAAGGGGAACTATTTACTATTTTTCTTGCATCGCATTCAACACATGTATAATCAGACTGAATACTTGTAATAGCTTTAATTTAGATTTTGAAATGTAATTATAAAATTCAAGATTGATACCCTGGGAAAGTGATGGAAATAGTCTCCAGCCTGGCTGGAAAGCTCTAGGTACGATGGTGCTATTGT